AGAAATCAATGTGCCCAGATGCCCAAAATTTTTTTAAGAAAAGTTTAGCCGGCATTTACGACCCAAACCTTCACCGAACCAAATATTACATTCCCCTCTGATTATGAAACAGGTTACTGTGATTAATCACCATTGTTACAGAGGGTAAATTGGGTATGGAAAAATAAATTGTGTTAATTAATTTTTTTAATAAATTACATTTTGGACAGTTAAAAAATTATTAATTATAATTATATTTCTTTCCCTTACTTCCGTAATCTCCAGCTAAATCTACTTTTCTTATTTTTCTCAATCTTTCTGCAAAAAAAAAAAAAAAATACTATCAATCCATTAGACAATCACTACCACTTCGAAAAACACCAATACCATTATAACAAAAAACAAGAAATCAATATCAATCCATTAAACAATCACTACCACTTCGAAAAATACTACCATTGCACAAAACACCAATACCATTCGAGAAATAAAAACACTACCATTTCACAAAATACTAATACCTTTGCAGATTTAGTTATAACCAATCCATTATGAAAATCAAACAATGCCATTGCAGAAAAAATCAATATCATTATTAAAAACAAAACTATACTATTTCATAAAATAAAACAAAGCAACTAGTACCAATTAGAACAATAAAACTTCAGATAAGAGCCTATCATGTGCTCCTAGAGAGAGAGATCATTCGAGGGAGAGGAGGGAAGGCAGGGCGGGTGGGGTGGGGTGGGGAAGAGGATGACGGGAGGTAGTAGGGAGGAGGGCGGCGGGTGGGAGGAGGGCAACGGGTGGTGTGAAGCGGAGGAAGTCGGGGAGGGAAGAGGGATGACGGAGAGGGAGATGAGTTGCAGTAGGATTAGGTTTGGGTATAATACATATAGTAATCAGGTGTAGTATTTTTTATTTATTTTCAAAGTTACTCTTAATGTAATCTTCATCGTAAATTTAAAAATAATGTAAAATAGAGATAATGAATGGGGTAGATTTTGGTAGCCACAATGATTACTAATAATTAAGTAACCATGCTAACTTATTCCACTGTGATTATACATGATGTGAATGGCCTCTGAATAATCTCTTCTTCTTGGCTTATTTTCTCCTCTATTTTGATTGTTTTTCTTCTTTTATGAATGATGAGGCTTACTTTTATTTCTAAAACCATCCACACTTTTGATGTTTAACTAATTATTTTGTTGGCTAGATGTAATGAATCCTAAATGACTTTGTTGGGTAGATTTGGTTCTTAGTATAAATGTGATATCTACAACCTAACCTACTCAGAGTTCAAGGAAGCAATCAAATAAGTCTCCGGCCGGTTCAAATTTATAGTCTTCCGACCAAGGTTCTCCTAAACCGAAATGGTACATTTCACGAGAAAAAAATAGTTGGAAAAATACTAGAAAATGTTATCAAAATTGGTGGTGGCTGTACAATTTAGAGCAAGAGCTCATCAGTCTTTCAATAAGAAAAGTATTCATCTAAGAATATTTGAGCAAGATCTTCTCATGCTTTAATTTACACGTTCCAGACAATCGAGCCACGAGTTCACCCTCCCTCAATGTGAGAAGGGGAAAAGGTGTAGTCTTATCACACTATCTAATCTAGCTATGTCTCCTTTATGAATCACGAAGTCACATATATTCAAGAAGTTCTTTGCATGGGTTACGTATTTTTCTCGTCCCGTCCATCGAACTGCCCCTGGGATCGAGTTTGAAATTGGCCCTAACAATTGTCGGCCTGGCGTCAATGATAACCGATAGGATTAAACCATTTCCTTTAGTTGATTGCTTAAGCACTACACTTGTTAAATGCCACTTAAATTATTAAATGCAATTTAAACAGGTAGTAGATAACTTCAACAACTAACAATAGGTTTGTGTTCAGCCTAAAAAAGGTGGTGTCCAAATTAAGTTTTTCTCTGGGTCTCTCAAGAATTTCAGACTACTTCATAACTCAAGTAATCAAGATTGAGAAAAATAATAATTATTTGTAGAAAAAGTTCAAATATATGTGTATAATTAGACAAATTTGGATGGGATAATATGAAAACCTTGCACACTCACTATCCACAAGATTCAGGTTCAATATTACTTATACCTATTGAAAATATTTCGAATATGAATTTCACAATGCCTCTATTGAAAAACCCTTTTAACAACTAAGAAGTATCCATAAGAAAGGAAAGGATCAAGGTTGGGTGATTGTGTACATACTTACACTATGTTTGGCAAAATAGCTAGAGAGTGCAAGTATGAGGGTGCAAGTTGAGGTGTAAAGTGAAGGGGATACAAATTGGCGGAGGAAGTAAGTGGATGGGTAAATTGTTGTTTGGAATGAAAAAATAGGAGGGTGCAAATAAGCTGAAAAGTAAATAATTTGTATTATTATAAAATTAATTTATCAAACTTATATAATATTATCAAAAAATATACATACATAAATAAATATTAAATAATAAAATAAAATTTTATATAATAATCATATATATTAAATAAAAAGATATTAAGATAGAAATGCTCAAATGATAATTATTTATTAAAAAGTAGTAAATAATATTATTAGGCCCATAAAAAATCATCATTGGTCGAACAACCTCGAGGATAATAAGTATACTTGAACCCTAATTCGTGGCAAATACATAAACTAGCACATATCTCCCACACAACCACTGATTTTTCGACATCGTGGTATCAAATCGTGTTTAACTTTAATGAACATGGGCTTGACCTAGTGGTAATATCACTAGCCTAGAACTTGAAGGTCCCCGGTTCGAATCCCTTAAGTAGTATCTTATTGACAACAAAATGAAACCTATATCACCCTAATAAAAAAAAGAACAACAATATCTTAAGGCAATATACACTTGTATAGTCAAAACTTTAGCGTTTGTGCCAATAATAGCCAAATTTGGAGAAATACCACTTATAACCACATTTTTTGAACTTGTACAAATATAGCCATTTTCGTCAATTACTTTAACACCGTCTCTAACCCCGTTAGTTTAAGTGAACATTATACTTATGTGGCTGCCACCTATACAACACATCATGTCCACCTAGACTCACATGTCACGTAATCGCCACATCATATTTTAAATTAAAAAAATTAGAGTGAGAAAGCTCTCCTCCCCCGTCTCTCTCATGCATCTATTACCTTCTACCCCCAACAAAAAAAATCCCTAATCCAATCCATAAAATCCATTCTCTATCTTCGTTTCCTCCTCCACTGCACCTCTCTTCCTCCTCTCCTCTCCCAACCATCACTAGTAGCAATCGGTGCTTCTTGGTTTTGCATATGGAAGGAATGGATGGATTGCGAAGGTCAACGATCGACGACGACTCGAATTCCCTGAGAAACATAGTGGTTTTGTTCATATCAACGAGAACTGAGGGTCGAGGAGGCATAGCTCGCAGGACAAGGCAACAACAACACATAAGGGGAATATTAGCCGTTCTCCTTTAAAATCCGACCTTTGCTCGACCTCCATCCATCCCCACCCTCAGGTTAAGTAAATTCATTAACGCCGGCGAAGACAGAGAACATGTCACCTTCTTCGGCTTCTGGAAGCGAGGATTTCCAGGGGATTGAATCGAATCCTTCGAGCACCGGGTCTTGTTTTTCGTTAAATTTATTTTCATTTAACAATGAGGGCTTTTTCATTTTGGTATGTTAATTTTTTTTAGTTAATTATTATCCACGTGGACAATTACACGAGAAATTGAAAATCAGAGCTCGCCACGTCAGCTGCTCCGTTTGTCCAATCAGATTTAACGCTAACATCGTTAAAGAATTGGACGAAAGTAACTATAAGTGGTTTTTTCTCCAAATTTGACTATTATTAACACAAATATGAAAGTTTTGACTATACAAGTGTATTACTATTTTGTTATATCTTAATTTCAATAAAACAATAATATCTTGTTATTGTGTAATGCAGTGCACTGTAGGGTGGTAGGTGGCCTAGGGGATCACGAAATATTATCTTTGGCGCAGATATTGTCCATCCAATTGCCAGTTTGGCAGGACCCATCACTCTGATTGTTAAGTAGAATATAATCTGATTGTTACGTTTTCTTTTGATAATTTGATATTGAAAGTGTAAAGACAACGTTGATATAGTATCATAATCAATAACCTTCAAATATAATTGGCGGAAGATGAATTTAATACAGCAAAATAAAAAAGATTTTTCTGCCACGGGTTCCATCTGTTTGTGTGATTAATTGCTCGCTGCTTATCATGTGCTTACCAATTATCATACAGAATGGGTCGAAGGACACCGTGTCTGCCTGCATGCATGATTCACGAGTTTGTGAGATCATCACGAAAGAAATACAGAAGGGTACATAGGTAATGTTATATATTAAGCTAGGAGGATTTAAGTAAAAGTTACGGGAATTTAATACAATAAATATGTAAGTAAGTGTTAAGTATCATACATTAATATTTTCCAAAAGTTCAAACTATTGAAATTAATCGGTTTATGATATGGTATCAGAACTGGTTTGTTTTTGAAGTCACGTGTTCCAGTATGCACGACCCCCGATATTAATCGTTGTCTTTAAACCACATGGTACATTGGGCCTGTACAAACTTCCAACCCATGAGATAGTTTTCGTTTGAGGGAGAGTGTAAATAAGTGGTTTATGGAACCAGTTGGTTTTTGACGAAAATGAATTTCAACCACTGGTTCCATCTGTCTGTGTGTTTTCTCAAATGTTTAAGAAACACTATCATACCGGCCGATCGAATTGAAAATACAATATGTTGGACCCAATTCGATATCTGGTTTTAGCTGTAGAAAATGATTGAACCATAATTAAACCACGATTTTAATACAAAATATCCTACCACTAAATTTTTCAGTATCACCTCCCGTACAATTTCACAATCAATTTAACATGCGCTTACCATATAGAGTGGGTCGAATGACACCGTGTCTACCGTGCATGATCCACGAGCTTTTGAGATCAGTGATCACCACGAAAGAAATAACAAGATCCCAAAATCAATTTCCCTTTTCCTTGATCAAAGAAAGGCCTATATATTACACAGAGTGTTTCCTTCTCGATAACTCATCGGCAAATGCTCTGTTTCCCCACCCCATTTTCAATCTACCTTACCCTGTTTTCCCCCTTAAAAATCAGCCATGGATCCCGAGGCCTGTGAGAGCCAGAGATCATCATCGACGTCTGCAGAGCTGTTCCAAGCTCAAGCCCACATCTACAGCCACGTCTCCAGCTACATGAACTCCATGGCGCTGAGAAGCGCCGTCGAGCTCGGAATCGCCGACGCAATCCAAACCCACGGCGGAGCCATCACTCTGCCCCAGCTCGTTTCCGCCGTCAAAATCGATCCCACAAAATCCGACTACCTCTTACGCCTGATGCGCATCCTCGTCCACTCTGGCTTCTTCGCCGAAACAGGGGATGCTTATTTGTTAACACCATCTTCACAATTGCTGCTCAAAAACCACCCGAATTCCCTTTCCGCCGTGGTGAAGCTGATCCCCCGGCTGGAGTTCGTCACTCCCTGTTTCCTGATGGGAGATTGGTTGCGGGAGCACGGGGAGAAGACGGCGTTCGAGACGGCCCATGGGGGGACGCCGTTTTGGGAGTACAGCGAAGGGAACCCTGAATTCAATTCCCTGTTCAATGAAGCCATGGCGAATGATTCTGGGTTGTTGGAGAACTTGGTGGTGGGGGATTGCGGGCTGGTTTTTCAGGGGATTGAATCTCTGGTCGATGTCGGTGGGGGAACGGGAACGGCCGGCAGGATCATATCGGAGACGTTTCCTGGGATTCGGTGTAAGGTTCTGGATCTACCTCAGGTGATTGGGGATGGTCGCTTGGCTGATTCGGAAGGGAACTTGGAGTTTGTTGCAGGGGATATGTTTGACCATGTTCCTTCAGCGCAAGCGGTGCTGCTCAAGGTATGTTGCGTAAATCGATCTCAATGCATAATGGACGATTTGAATTAGTGACCATGTCTGAAGTAGGGATGTAAGCCTGACTCTAGATACCTATCGACTAGTCCGATTCGATCTTGAGAGTCGAATTGGTCAGTTTGTCTACAAGTCAGTTTAGAGTCGGTTAAAGTTTTTTGGTCGTGGAAGATCGGGTAGGGTCGAGTTAATTTAGGGTCGGATAATTTTCTACTCCATTCTCTTATAACAACTAGTGATATAAAATTTCTCATACCAACACATTAGACATATTTGTAAAGCTTTAAATGTTTAGGTACTATAATGGAAGGTAAAAAATATAAAGGTACTTAAAACATATACCACCAAAATTTCTAGACCTTTTTGGCAAAAAAAAAAAGTTTAGGTACTAAATTGTACCAAAATGTATTTAAAAAAAATGGTATATTCATTTATGTGAGCCAACCTAGCCCGACCCAGCCCTACATGTACTGGCCAAACGGGGCCAAATGAGAATAAGAGCGGGCTGGGACAAGTTGAATGTTGGCCCCTATAGGGCTGGGGTTTTTAGAGTAGTGACATGGTTGGGTTTGGCCGAGTTCACCTCTAGTATGAATGCATGATGGAGTGATGTTGGGAGAATGTTAATTATGAATCTTGTATCACTCTCGTTTACGCTGCAGTGTGTTTTGCACGATTGGAACAATGAAGAGTGTGTGAAGATCCTGAAGAAATGCAAGGAAGCCATTTCAGCCAAAGCAGGGGAGGGAGGGAAGGTGATAGTCATTGACATTGTGGTGAATGAGAAGAATGATGATCATGAACTGGCTGGAATGAAGCTGAGGTTCGACATGTTGATGATGTTGCTGCTGAAAGGGAAGGAGAGGAGTGAAAAGGAATGGGAGGGGCTGTTTTTGGAAGCTGGTTTCAAGCACTACAAGATCACTCCTCTGTTTGGTTTTAGCTCACTCATTGAGGTTTTCCCCTAGCTAGAGTGAAGTTTAATAAAAACCCAGCCGGACCAAAACTCGCTTTGTTCTTGTCTTGTCTCTGTAATCGATTATTGTGTTCTCGATTGATCTTTCCAATAAGTAATTTCTTTGGCTTTTATTTGAGTATTTATGATCAATCAAGGGGGAAAACAACCATAATCGTCAAATATAGTCTTATGATCGTATAAGAGGTAACAAAACGCAATTATCTCATTAAATCTGATACTTTAATGAGAGATTGTATGTAAACGCATGAATATGAGATTTTAGCAACGACTTTGCAGATTTTTAGTGACATATTTAATTTCTGCAGCTATAGTATTTAGTATATATGCTTAGAATTTTACAAATAGGTCCCTATATTCCAATTTACTACGTTTTAGTTTTACTAAATAACGCTAGGGAATCACCCTAGCGGATCCCATAACTTCTGGTTTCGGTCAAAATTAGTCCCTTGATTTTACTAATATTAAATTTAGCTTTATTAAATGGAATTGCATGATGTAAATTATTAGTGATTAGCAAACTAGGTAGTGCCAGTGATTAAATATAAAGTGAAGGGTCGTTATCAATTAATGGACAATTGAATAATTTATAATTTATAGGATTACTTACCGTCACTCAGTTATCATTTTTCTTTTACATTTGCCTTCCAAACTATTTTTCTTTCTTTCTAGTCACTAATTTTATGCCTCATTTCATCGATAGTTACTCGCCATCCAACTTCGTTGAGTTTAATCAAAGTAGCAGTCAACTATAAATTAATTTTGACGGTTAAGTTGCTAATATGTCAATTACAAAAATTAAAATTACTAAAATTTAATTAAAAAATATATAAAATGCAAGGGAATCTCTCAAGCGCTGGAAACCTCTCTCACCGGCTGACCGCTTTATTATTAAGGGCATACAAAGAAAATCGAAATGTACATTGTAGGTTATTGATGAAGCTGGCGTGCTTCTCTCTCACCCAGTCACAACTCCTACACACTTTTTTTTTTTTTTTTATAATGGTGAACAAATTTTATTAAAACAAATAAAGTTACAGGAGAGAAAAGGGGGAGAGAAAGAAAGGAAAGAAAGGAAAGGTTACTGCACAGAAGCTGCAGAAACAGTACAGATACAGGCAGCAAAACAACAAAAACGAGGGGGACTAAACATGGCGCCCAAAACAAAATCCCACCCGCTTAAGAACTAGCCGAACCGATCGTAGCCTGCCGCAACGCTTCTACCCAAGGATCAGCAGTGTCCTTTTCCACTTTGTTTGCCACAACCAACCATCTCGCAATCAAACTACCAATCTTAAACGCAATGACATTCTCCGTAGTTGCTCTGTCTTCAAAAATCCTATAATTCCTTTCTCTCCACACACTCCAGCACAGAGCATGCAGAAACGTCCTTGTGCACCAGTCCTTCGGGCAAGCAGGTTTCCTCCGTGGCCAAATCTTTATCACAATTCCTACACACTTAACAACTCAACATTACAGTCCACTTTCTGATGCTGAGGTTTACATGAGACCGGTATGCAAACTTACCTACCTCACCACTATAAGAACATACATAAGTTTCTCTACTCAACAGGTCAGTCAGTTTATATCCAATCCCTGAGGACCGTTATAGTTTTGCTCCGAGTTCTCAAATATCTCAAATCCGCCTGAACCCCTTATTTATTCTTTTTCTAGCTCTTCAACACTTCACCTCAAATCCTACAGTGATTCAGATTGAGATGCATGTCTAGACACAAAAAGCTATATTATTGGTTATTGTGTATACCTTGGAGAGTCATTAATTTCATGGAAAAGCAACAAACAACACGTTGTCTTCCTCTTGTAACACAGAATATAGAGCTTTAGCCTATACCACTTGTATGGTGTACATGCATAAGGGCTTCATAGTCTCATCCAATATCTACTGTGACAATCAGTATCCGGTATACATTGCAAAAATCTACACTTTCCACATCGAGCTTGCCTGTCATCTTGTTCGCTAAAAGTTGCAAGTTCAAGTCATCAAGATTCTCCACGTCTGTGCCGGGGAGGGTGGATAACAATATAATTGAAAAATTCTTCTCTTGATGGACTCGAACCCGAGTCGTACGATTCACTAGTGTAGACACAAACCCATTAGTGGATGCGGATGTTGAATATTAGCAAAAATGTAGAGTCTTTTCAATCGAGGCAAAAAAAAAATATTTGGTATTTATTTTCTGAAATTTAGAACACACTCAAAACAACAGAGGGTCTTAATTTTAGCCTATGGTTTTGTTATGATCTCCGACACTTCCATACGTACATATATAATACTAAGACTACAATCAATCATATTTCCATGCGTTCAAATTTCCAATCCATTTGCTGTAACTTGCTTTGCATTATTTGATGGTTTGCTTTTTCCATGTTCTGCTGCTGCCGTCAACAATGGAGGCTGTATACTGATAATTAATCATATCCATTGGTAGGCTCAATGGCAGCATTATTTTGTTTAATTTACCTTCTGGGATAAGTTTATTTATTATTATGTTTTTTTAATTGCACATTATCATTGGGAAGGAGCCAATCCATCAGACCTAGACAGGGATGGCGGCAATTGGCAGCTATAGGCTGGAATTCTGGTGGGCGATTGGATCTGGGAGTTGGCCTCGTGGTTCTGCGCATGGCTCTGACCGTACTGTACACTCGGGAGGAGGATTTGGAGAGATTGATAGAATGAGCAGGGCAGGGATAAGGCAGCCCGTCGGACGAGCATGGCTCGGCTGGAATTTCCGAAATTCAATATTCGATTGTGTGGGTGCACCTTCATTCTCCGTCTAAATGTTTCCTTCTCTCTTTTATTTTCTTTCTTTAAAATGAATATGAGCAGAGTATAAACAGAAGTAGACACAGCATGATTCAAATCGAGCCCGTGCCGGTCCCAGACTGAATCTAGCAAATTTAGGAAAAAAAAGAGCTAGCACGATATAACACCAAGTGTGAGATGGAAACCCTAACTTACTTTCTCATTGATGATAATCTCGGTTTATATACATGGATTGTGCAAAAGAAGACAAGCTCACTTAGCTGTCGATTTACAGAATGAAAAACAGAAAAACAGAGAAAAGAGTTTGAGAGGGAACAAGGACTGAGCAGTGAAAGTGACATTGGTTCTCTACGGCAACGTTTTCCCTTCTTCAGTCTCCACTAGATTAGACGGTGCCGTTCCACTTGACTCGCCTGCAGTTTTGCCTGCAACGACATCGCTCCATCTCCTCAGCTTACTAGCCGTTGTGATTTGGGGTGAAAATTGAACATTTTTGTCTGATACCCCCCCCCCCCCCCGGCAAGCTCGTGGGCACAGATTGTGCACACCAAGCTTGGAGAGGAGACTGGAAAATGTGGGTGGGGGAAGAGCTTTGGTGAATAGATCTGCTAGTTGATGAAGTGTGGAGACGTGAAGGAGCTTAATCGTACCTGCCTGCAGTTTCTCTCTTACCAGGTGGCAGTCCAATTCGATATGTTTTGTTCTTTCATGGAAGGTGGGGTTATCGGCTATGTGGATTGCAGATTGGTTGTCACAGTAGAGAACGGCCGATTGAGGTTGAGAGACTTGAAAATCTTTGAGTAGGTAGAAAAGCCATTGGAGCTCGCTAGTTGTATTTGCCATCGCTCTGTATTATGCCTCACAAGAAGGATCGTGAAATGGTTCGTTGCTTCTTGCTTCGCCATGAAATGAGCGCATTCCCAAGGTAAACACAATAGCCAGTGACTGACCTGCGTGTGTCTTGGCTGGCAGCCCAGTCTGAATCACTGAAAGACTTCAGATGTAGGGTAGATGTCGAAGGAAAGAATAGGCCAGTAGAAGGTGCTGACTTGAGATATCTGAGTATCCTTGTGACTGCTTGGTAATGTTGATTGCTGGGATTTGACATATATTTGCTCAATTGCTGGGTGGCAAAGCTGATGTCAGGACGAGTTGTGCTCAACTATATCAACTTGCCAACAATGCGTTTGTAGAATGATGGATCGGGGTATGCATCAGAATGGTTAGTTGTGAGGTGGATTTTGTGATCCATTAGTGTAGAAACAGGTCTGGAGAGCAAAACTTCTCCTTCTTCAAGTATCTCCAATGTGTATTTGCGCTGGGAGAGGTGAATGCTTGACTTATTCCTGGCTACCTCAATGCCAAGGAAGAACTTCAGTGGACCCATGTCCTTGATGCTGAAAGTGTTATGGAGATGCTTCTTGAGTTGGTTTATTTCTGTGATGTTGGTTCCTCCAACAACAAGGTCATCTACATAGACCAGCACACATGCGTAATGGGCACCATCTGTTTTGTAGAAGAGTGAATGATCTACCTGACTTGAAGTGTAACCTTGATTAGAGAGACAATCTTCCAGTTTGGAGAACAATTGGCGAGATGCTTGATTTAAGCCATAGAGAGACTTCTTGAGTCTAGAGACAGGGTTTTTGATGTTAGGAGGTGGATTGTAGCCCTTTGGAAGTCTCATATAGACCTCTTCTGTAAGATCACCATGTAGGAAGGCATTGTTCACATCTAGTTGGTGAACATGCCAACCTTTGGATGCTGCAATAGCTAAGAAAAGTCTTAGTGTAGTCATTTTAACTACAGGTGCAAAGGTATCCTTATAGTCTATGCCCTCCTGCTGGTTGTACCCTTTGGCTATTAGCCTTGCTTTTTCTCTTTCGAGACTGCCATCTAATAGAAATTTGTACTTGAATATCCACTTGTTGCCCAATGGTTTTCTTTTGGGAGGTAGGGAGACAACATCCCATGTCTGGTTTCTTTCCAGAGCATCAATCTCATGAATAATGGCATTGTTCCATTCTGGTCTGAGAGCTGCTTCTTCATAAGTTTCTGGTTCTTTGTGACATGATTATATTGAGAATGAACTTGAGATATGAATCAGATAAAACACTTTAATCAAGGACTTGAGAGAGAGGATAGGTGATACTTGGCACATGTTGCTGAAGAGGATGACTGGAGGAAGAAGCCTGCTAAAGTAGGTTGCAATGGTAAGTTTGCAGTTTTGAAGGTTGTTTGATGGTCCTGTTGGTTTTCTAATGGCAATGGGAAGATCAAGAGAAGATGGTGTGGGATGAGTAAAATATGGTATAGGTGGAGGGCTTGATGGAGGTGGTATGGTGGGGGTTAT